CGAGGGACGAAGACTGTACCAGTTATTCGGTAAAGTAGCTGTGTAGTAAAGTAACTTCCTTAGTTGAAACCTTGAGAAAAGTGGTTGAATGTATTATTTTGATTCAAATCCAAAGTGGTAATTTGGAATCATCTACAGGATTTGAAATTTCATGAATTATCATTGAAAATGAAAAGTTGCGAGGCTAAATCGGATTCTACATGAGTAATATGTTGTTCTTATTGGAATTGGAGAAGAATTTACTTCTTTTCTTTAATATTATAATATTTAGGCGAAGAATAGAGCATTCTAGTTTCCTGCTGGCAGAAATTTGGGGAGACTAAATGTATTTCTAGTTTTCAGAAAGTAGAAACTCTTATGCTTTTAGCCGTCAGAAACAAGGAACACATAGGGTTGCTTGTTGTCAAACACGTGAACTCAGTTGTATTATCACGTGTGAGTTCTTAATTTTCGAAAGTAAAAATTGAAAATAGTCATCGCTATCTCGATGTGTTGTTGAACAACGTGATCAGGAGATAATCTGGAAAAAAAGACATCGAGAAACGCTTAAGTGCAGTGTAGTAGACTGTCACTTTTCTGTAGCTATATGCATAAAACAAAACACCGCGGGTGTTCTGAATGGCTGGACTTGACACAATCTGAAATGCGACATATTCGACTACTGCATATTATCTTGTAAAAGTCTGTGACATCATTTCATTCGGTATGTAATATGAGAGGCACTTAAGCAAGGAAGAAGATGCAAGTTTAAAGCCCGTAGCATCACAGCACCTTTTGATGTGATAGTGCCCATACATATTTGAAACTGGACTGGAAATTAAGATCATAGCTATGAGTGAGAGTCATACTATTTCAGTTCTATTTTTCTGATACAGACATGACTATTTAGAACAAAATAGCGATTCTTTTATAAACTGACTAGCAGTTTCAGAGCCAACCAATTCGAATCTGTAATCGATTTTTGAAATTCTTAAGTTCGATTTTTTCGATTAGAAAAAGTCTAATTCCTGCGATTTGCCCACGCTTGATAATTAGGAGCGGGAAGCCACCCTTACAACTCAGTAATATTACCACGCAACTGATAATGGAACCGTCATTGGCTATCAAATCCATTACCCGTTACCCGGTAACGGATAACTTCTTACTTTATATAAGAAAGTCTATTCTTTGAAAACAACGATATTTTATGAAGTTTGATCAAAGATGTGCGAGTTGGAGGAATCTGAGTCCTAAAACAGTTTCTCAGATTTCGTGGGCTTGTGACCTCACTGTGGAAAGGCTGTTATGCTAGGAAGCTTTTTCTCAACTATTGTAAGGACACAATATGATGTTGTTTGGGTCATATAAAAGAGAATTCCTTAGAATCCTATTATTGGCACGAGAACACTACGTTTTGTCTTTATAATAGTAAAAAAAACTCTTGCTAGAATCTGATTGGTTGAGACAAAATAGTTTTCAGCCAATCAGATTTTAGCAAGGCTTTTCACTATGGAAAGGACAAAACGTGGTGCTGTTTGCGTCCACTACGGAGCTTGAAAGGGTCTTCTTTAATATGGCCCAATTAAGACCATGTCTTTTCCTTGGAACAGTGAAAAAAATCCTTTCTACAATCTGATTGATCGAAAGAAAAACCTCCTAGTCAATCAGATTGCAGGAATGGCTTTCTTCACTATTGCAACGACACAGCATGGGGTTGATCGGGTCATATGAATCAGGAACCATTCAAACTCTATAATCGGCACGGACAACACTATGTTTTTGTCCTTTCTGTAGTAAAGAAAACCTTTACGGACATTGGATTGCACGAGACGAAAAGTTCTCAGCCAAACATATTACAGAAAGGGTTTTTCTTCATTGTTGCAAGGATACAACATGAGGTTATTCGGACCATCTGAAAGAGAACCTCTTCGAACCTTATAATTGGTGCCGACACTATTACGTTTTGTCCTGACAATAATAGAGAAAGCCTCTGTTGAGATCTGATTAGTCGAGATGAGAAAGTTCTTAACTAATCGGATTACAGCCTGAATTATGTTCACTTTTGTAAGAACACAGCATGAAGTTGTTTAGGCCATATCAAATGGGTCGCGCTAAACCGTGTGATCGACGCTGACGACACTATGCTTCGTCCTTAGAATAGTAGAGAACAAGTGTCATGAAAAAATAGCTTGTCTCTCGTAAGATTCCCGAGTCCATGAAATTCAAGAAAATATTTTGCGATCCGGACTCTGCGAACCGAAATGGTAGGACTTTTATTCATAACTGCCTCCTTAATTTCCAGCCTAATCTCACATATGTATGAGCACCACAGTATCTCAACACATCAGCACCTTCCATCATGATGGGATGCCAGATGCTTGCATACACTCTTTTGCTAGAAACTCTGCCAGAATCAGACGAAAGCTTCTGCCTTTGTCAGTGAAAACTTTCTATCTTCTGACAATCGATATCTAGCACACTCAGCCTCTTTTTTCAGCCGGAAGATCAGTCACATGTCGACAGTGTTTCTGGTAGCCTCTGAAAAGAAAGTCTTATATAAGCAACTAACAAAAAAGTTTATGATCTGTTGAACGATAAAACCATGGCAGAAAACTGTGTTTCAAACCTTTTTATTGTCTGGTTGCGATTCAAAACAATATACTACCCTGTAAGATACTAATGAATTCTATTGAAATGAACTTAATTAAAATATAATGAACTTCCATGGATTGAAATCCAAAGATGATATTAATGTAATACTAATGCGCCCCTCATTCGAATTGGACTTCTGGCAGAAGTCAAAGATTTTCTTCGGATTTTTCTTCATTTCTTTTATATAGAAAACCCAGAAAAATTGTTTTTTTGAAGCTTCAAGCTTACCTGCCATGTTGAAAGTCGACGATAAGAAATTATCTTTCTTCTCCTGGCTTCAATATTGGAACGAAACAACAAGCGACACACTTCCTAAAAACAACGATAATCATAGATAATATCAAGAAACATTGTAAACAGAAGGAAAAGCTCTTTCACGAGTGTTCTCTCACATTGCAGACATTTTTTCACATCATCGTAAGTACTCCACGAAAAAGTATAATCTCGTTCGACAAAAATATAGGTAGCGCGACTGTTGCATCCAGACAGACGCTTCCACAACAGTTGTTCATGGGATATTTTGAAAGCTGACAGTGAGGATGATGGTAGAGATTAAGGTAGAGGATGATGACAAAGGAAAGAATGTGAGCGAAGGTGAGGTCTACATATAATTTCTGTACTTTTCTAATTGATTTCTGACTTATTCATAGTTCTCACCAAGAGCCATAGGAAACAAAATATTGCGGGAGCAATTGTCATTGGGGAGTAAGTGTGGCGGTAGCATACATCAAGAGAGCAACATTGATGGGTGGAAAAATAAAAATAAAGTAAAAATTTTTATTCGGAGTTGTTCGCATTCATTTCTATAAAGAGATAGCAAAAAGCAAAAGTTACACCGGTTTTCAATATTTATGAATACATGTTCCGTTCGATTCCTACTGATTTTCTTCACTACTATCGAAAAAACAGAAGCAACAAAGTTCTTCCGCTCACTGATAATTTTTTAAAAAAGTTCCATGCTTCACAATCAACACATTAGATTTTGGCGAGCAAGTCATCGAAGGCGAACATATTGCGTCGGGCTTGAGTTTAAGCTGCTGTACATTTTTCCCAAAAAATATAGACTTGCAGATTTTCCAACTAACCAATAGCATTCAGGTATTTCTGATGAAGAGTTTTGATTTCGAGAGATCTGCAACACTCAGTGAATGAATGGCACAACTATGTATGTCGAGTATGTCAATAGTTTCATTTTACGCGCGTGCGTGGCCACTGAAACGATCGTTGCATTAAACTGTCTACAAAGGCTCATTTCAAATTTATGAATTTGCTGAAAACACACGTTCTTACTTTCAGGAACGAAGGACTGCGCTTTGTGAAGATTAATGTTCGCGAATGAACTTTATCGAAGTGCCAAATGCTGCTAATTGCTCGGAAAGTAGGGTTACCCAAATTTTGCCAATAGGACTTTCGCGAACTCGACATTCGCCAATTGACGAGAATTCATTGAACTCTCTCCAATACATTTCCGAAATTTTGCCAATGGGCGAAAGTCTTATTGGGGAATTTTGAGACCCATAAAAAGTTTACAAGTCTATATTTTTTTGGGAAGAATCTACAGTAACTTCAACTTGAGTTCGACGCAACATGTTAAATTTCGATTATTTGCTTGCTTAAATATAACATAAAAATACAAGTGATTGTGAAGCATAGAATTAAAAAAAAGAAATGCTAGCAAATGAAAAAAGTTGGTTGCTTCTGTTTTTTTTCAATAGTGGCAAAGAAAAATCAGTGAGAATCGAGCAGAACTTGTATAGGTAAACACTGAACACGTGTGTGAAGCCGTGTACTCTATTACGATGAAAGAATCGTAGCTACGCGCAACTACGATTTTGTTTTCGTGATTACGCATAGCTGCGATAGAGAAATCGCAGTTTGGCATAACTGCGTCTCACCTTTCCAAACCATAAACTGTTATTGATAAGCAACTATGGGATCAAATCAGATAGGGCGTGGGTGTGTGTGGGTGTGGGGTGTGGGTATGGGAGTGTGAGTGTGTGGAGTGAGGGTAGAGTGTGGGTGTTGGGAAGCGCGTGATATCCATACCCACACCCATACTCCACATTGTTTTTTCGACATCTCCATTCAAAGAATGATTTTGCTATGAGTATGGAGAAGAGCACAAAAGAGAAAATATAACTAAACTTTTGTTTGTCACTATCGGTGGAAAAAGGAAAAGACATCGAAAAGTTTCATAACAATATAAAACGACGCTAGGTCTTTTATTCTCAACTAAATCACTTTATAGAAAAAAATTGATTTTATTATTAATTAGGATATTTTTGTCTTGAGTTTTCCATGAAAAATCATAATAAGTGAAAGTTTAATTTTTCGACGTGTTTGTCATACGAATCATTTAATTATTTATTTTAGCGCAAGTAACGTAGCGTATCTTGTTCGTTTGGTTGCCGTTCAATATATTCTTTTTCAATTAATATATCAATACATTTCTACAATAAAGAATATTCTTTGATTAAATTTTTAATATAATTATATTAGAATTTACTTTGATCGATGGTATTATGGATTCAAAACTTTTACTTAGTTGTTGAATAACTTCTTGTTCTAGTAATGCGGATTTTAGAGTTTGCCGAGCTTTCATTATTCGAACAATTGCAGCTTGAATAATAATTTGTCGATCACCATCAATTGTTCGATGTAAATTTTCTATGTCTCTTTGTTCGACTGATTTACATGGCACATTCAAATTTAGTCGTATATTTTTACTAAACAAAAAAAATTTAAGAATCTTTAATATTTAGTCTTGAGACACACGCTAACTTTCCCAGATGATTATTAATACTATAATTGTAATTTCTGATCATGTAGGAGTTTATAGAAAAAAATATATCGATGAACGAATTTCAACATTCTACGGGGTGATATATTAAGATTTAGACATAGATTACATTTATCAGTATCGGTATACTATCCATCAATACGCAACTTTGTAGCTAGTCAAATAGTATCTATGCGAATATGAGTATGTTGATATGCAGATGTCTGCTGAGGATAATTTTGTCAAGTATTTTTTGCCCGCTTTTGGTCAAATATTAACATATGCTAATAGTAATGACTAAGTCTTTTCTATTGGACAATTGTAATTGAAGATATTGGTCAAATAAATAGCAACTATAGTAAGTATTAATAATCTTGTTCGTTTGTTTATTATAGGTACAAAATACCACATATAATCATTATTATAAAACTTCACATTTATGTAATTATTATACCTGAACAAAAGCTTCATTTAAGGCTTGGAAATAATAAGGAACTATACGTGTCAGTAGGATTTATATTTTACAATGGATTTTTCTAAGTATACAACCGATGAATTTGATTTTTATCGAATTTTTAGCAATCAATTGAATTCAATCACTGTCTAACGGGTAATTATCTAAGACGTCACCAATAGTTGTTTGAACTAAATAAGGATAAATGAAAGATAATCACAAAGGAAATGATATAAACAATAACAGTTCAACATAAAAAAGCTTAAGCAAAGAAATAATAAAAATAAAATATGTAAATCGCCTGTAATTTTGATTCAATCAGCTATTTTACTGATAACAGTAATCTATGAAACTAGTTAAACTTATTGTGATTTTCTTAATTGTTCAAAAGTAACTAAATATTATATTAATTCTAGTAATTTTGCTCGAATTCGAATCGAAATATTGGAAGATTAAATTAGAAGCCTATATAATAGTACTAGCTGCCATTTATATCCTATCGTTCTTCTTGCTATGTGTACAATGATTTATATGTATAACTTCATTGTTCATTAGTTATCACATTCATTTATTCATTTACTTTTTTTACAAAATTCTATTTTAATTCTTATTTTTTTTACTGATATTCTTGTCTTCTTTTGTTTCATAACTCAGTGATTATCATTTGCTCATCCTCATTTTATGGTCTATCATGTTATTCAATCTACTAATGAACCTATTCGTTCATATTTCTCTCTTTTATTATTCTTTTCTTATTTATTAAAAACTAATTTATTATTAGTATTATAAAATTTATTTCTCAAAACTCTATGTTTGAGTCAGATCATAAGTACTCTATCGTATTACTAAAATAATATTATTGTTTAGATTTCTTATCAAAAATTAAATATTCGTTTTAATGATTCTATAAACTTAAAAAGAAGTGAGTAATAAAAAACAGAATACTAACCTACAAAAATTTTCATTTATACGAATAGTATAATTCATTTTAATATCATTTTTGTTATAATCTTCATCAATTTTATTATCAGTAATTTCTGAACATGTAAGCAATTTACTTTTCAATAAACTATAAAGAACTTGCAAGAAAAAATCAATTTTGATTTGTGTTTTATCTTGCATTTGTTCAACGGTATAACTTGACAGTTTATTAAATAGAAGCAAAACAGCCATTTGATATATTGATACCTTTTGTATTTCAAAACAACAATAAAATCCATTTTTTTGTTTTCTTTCAAAATAAATCAATATTTACACGTAGAATATATTTTTTGTCAGTATAAAATATTTGTAACTCTCCATTTGAATGTTGATGCAACCATGTTAACTTACGTTCATTATGTTGTTGAATATAAAATTTTGTAAAACTCTCAAATGTTTGTTTAAGCTAAAACAGAAAGTAGTATAAATAATAGTGACAAAAAAAAAATATTACTTCAGTTGGTATAATAAAATTTGGTAGTGCGGAAAATGGCCATGAATTCGAACTAACAACCATTACAGAAAAATCAACTTTAATGAAATAAAAAATATTTTAGAAAAAGATTCAACTCAAAATATTGATACCAATATTTTCTTTTGTAGAATATTTTCGATATTCATCTAATAATTTTTCACTAACACTAACATCTTGAAACATTTTTTGTAATCTTGATGCATATGCAAAACCGCATACATGCTAGAATAGAGATTGGATAAAGATTTGTTTCAATAAAAAATAAATGTTTCTTTACTTTTAATCTTAAAATCATTGATTCTTCATAATCCTTCGATGCACTTAATTTACCGATTAAACGTTTGGCTAACATTTTACTATAAAATTTTTCGAAAACATCTTTATCTTTAATATAATTAAAAACTATCTAAATTAAAGAAACTAAACTAAAAGCAATCACGATAGAAAATAGTACCATAATCTGATTGAATTTCTCTTCAATATCAATATCAATTTCACTTTTAATTTTATTTCTAAATATTTCATTGATTATAATTTTATAATCAATCTAAAATCGAAACTAACCGTTTTCGTAAAAGTATATCACAATATCGAGCTAATAATTCAGCTGATTTTCTAGCATTATCAACAGCTACTGTTACTGCATTATGGTTAATAAAATTTCCACAAGCCTAAATACACAAGATGGAAAATGAGATTATCTTTAAAAAAAATATTCTATTCTACTTTATCAACAAAAGCAATAAAATATTCGTCATTATCAAAAACTTTTTGTGCAACTTGGAAAAATTCTTTATGAATATCAAGAATTGTTTCAACATAAAGTTTCGGATCCTAAAAAGAAATAGAGAAATAAGTATGACTATAAAGTTCAATAGTAAATTAGTTTTACATCAATTGCAGTGGTACTGATTCGTTCCATAGATTCAATACCTTTTGGACAAAAATTTTCTTCAAAAATTTTTTTCAATTGAACAGTCGCATGTTTTATATGATTAACTGATTTGAATAGAAATATGAAATCTATCAAACAATAAATCAAATGAATCATTTAAAATCGATTATATGAAGTTTTCTAGATCAATTTACGCTAATAAGTTTTTGTCTATATACCTGAATATTTTTTATCGTGTAAAAGTGTTTTTGCTTCAGGATAGATTGCTTCAAGTTGATCATGAATGAATACTTGCTTAAGTATTTCAGTTAAAGGTACTGATGTTGAATCATGTAAATATGATTGTACTCGATATAATTCTTCATCAATCCATTGTTGTACCTATTAGAATTAAGATTAAATTTGTATCATTTTTATAAAGAAAAATAAACTTTTTTAAAGTATTCAGATGTAGAATTATGACGAAGGAAGTCAGTTGCTTTCTGACGATAAAATTGTTTTGTATGTTGAAGAAATGGTACTTCAAAGTAATCTTTATAAATTTGCAATCTTGAAGATGTGATTTGATCACTATTATTTGGTAACAATGAATTTTCACATAAGGCAAGTTCGACTAAAATGTTCCACATCAATTTCAAGGAAAAACAAAGAAATTGAATCTTTACTATAACTTTGTACCACTGTAGGAATTAATTGAGTATTAATTGCTCCACTTTGACGCTCGACATCGATTAATTGAAGGCATGCTAATGTTACTTGACTTTGAAATGTTTGAAAGAAATCAAGTAGCCAAACTTCCAATGCCATCTAAAATTATATGAATTGATAAATAATTTAAAGAGATAAACAATCTAACTTTACTTACAGTGAAAATTTCATAAACATCTCTTCTTCCTGAATCATATAGTTGTCGTATCCCATGTCGATTTAGATAATGGCAAAAACCATTTGTCACTTTGCTTGAAAAATGATAGTGTTCCCAATTTTTAACATAGAAACGAAGTAAACTATCACCTTCTAAAGCAAGACCTTTCTACAAACAAAAATATTATCATTAAAACAATAATAGCAGCTCAATATTAAAAATCAAATGAACTTTGAATTAATATACTAGGTATTACAAGACACAGTATAGCCTCCAAATATTGAGAATGACACGAAAATAGATCATATTTTTCATTGATTACTTCATTGTTTCTTTAAATTTCACACTTAACATCATTTGCACATTAACTAATAAGATAGTCGTTTGTGGATAAAGAAAGTTAATGAGCTATACTCGAAGGAGACAAGTAAAAGGCATTATTACTATGCCTCTCAATGTCTCTACTATGACTTCTAGCCAACATTGAAATAATAGTACTAAAGTATTGCTAAATATTATAAATTATTTATTTTAAACAGATTTTTTCGCTTCAAGTACTACTCAAATGATATTAGTCAAATATGAATGGCTTCTGAATGATTAAAAAAACATTTTCCGATTTGTTTATTTTAAAGATTAATTTTTCATTAGGTTAAATTATTTATTTTGTTTAATAGTCTTAGAAAAGTTCAACATTACAAGATGCTGAATAAATGAAGTTTAAGAACAAAACTATTTACATGCAATTATAAATTAATATAACTTGAGTACAATTAAAATCATGTGATTAAGAGTAGTAAATAGTTCTTATTATAAAATGAAGTTACAATTCTTCTTATGATCATTCTCGTAAAATTCAATACAAAGGCGCATCGAAACACCAATAGCAGAGGAGGCCACGAAGAGTTTTTAATACAGAAAAGCCCTCACGATAGAGTTAGGTTGTAGCTAAATTTCTAAATCAGAAGGCATTTGATAGATAAATTTGAAAAATGCAGGACGGGGTGCGAGGGACTATATTAAATAGAAACAAAAGAATAAATCTATTTTTTAAAACAATATGCCATGAATGATTTGTCTGATTCAATCTTTTGAAAACACAACACTATACTACGAGTATATATATATATATATGTATCCTATACTCCTCCAGTACTCGCTGTATTTTCGTGGTTGAATGTATAACTTTCCTATTTTGATAAATTAGTTTGCATAAAAATTCAGAATGTTTTCTTCCCATTCTCTTATACAGGACAAGATGATGTTCATGATGACAAATCTATTTTAGCAACTGATTATTCTTGTTAAGAAAACACAAATTCTCAATTATACAGACATCTAAATTAAAAACTCTTATAGTTTTATTATCTAATAAGACTATGAATTACTTTCTCAAGTAATTAATCTTACCTCACGAATTTCTTTCAAATAATTTTTTAAATAATCTTTCAATTTGGTATATAATTCCGCATCGGCAGCATTTTCTCTATCATGTAGATTGTTTTGTCGATTATTTCGAGTAGATATTCTTTCTCTTCCTAATGAATTCCTTTGTAATCGAGCATGTGTACAACAATTGTAAACCATACTATAATACGGATGGAAATATTGAAAGAGAAAACAAAAAGGAAAGATTAAGTTTGTAGTTACCTATACATTTCGCAATATTCATTCGGTGACATTTTTTTACTATGATAAATATGTTCAAGACCTTCTGATATTTTTATCCAAATATCATTAAAATTAAAATTATTAACTGTGTGTGTCATTTTCTCTTAAATCAATATCTATGAATAGAAGAATAATAATATTAAAGTCATGCATTATGAATAAATACTAGATAGCATACAAACTTTACTTATTATAGTATGAGATTAGCTTGAAGTACCTCAAATTTTCGAATATTAAAAGATTTCTAAAGTCATTTAAGACCTCACTTAGACTCAGTTCTGATAGTCTCATTATTATATAAATACCGTGACTAACGATTATTATTTGAACGGAGTAGTTTTCTTCATTTTTATACGATAAATCATACAATTTTAGTTTATTTTCTTACATCCAGCGAAAGGTCGTATCAAGTAGAATACTCTTATGTATAATACTTAAATTGATGTATATAAAGTATGTATGGTTTTGTATAAGAACGAGTAGATTATGTTGTTAGTTTATCTTTGTTTTACTCTCATAATTCACTTTATGTATCTCTCTAACGACACATTTATCTTATAGAAAGATCGGGTCTATCTATATATAAGATGTGAGGAAGAAGAAGAAAAAAATAAAATAATGAAAAAAACAAGATAATAAAATCGGAAGAAATGTATGCGTCATTACGTCACATACCGAAAGCAATGATACAGAGAGCATAGTTGGAAAAATATCTAAAAGAACGAAAGAAGAAACATGAGTAAAATTATACGGTATGTATCCGAAGACAGAGAAAGAAAAAGAACGAATCTGTATGGAAAAAACCATTAACACACGTTTTATGACACATTTACATACTTGTCGTAATGTCTATTAAGAGAACCAAATATTTAGTGAATTTCAAAAGTCTAATTCATCTCATCAATCGAACATGTAATTCACAATTAATGCATATTTTTGAGAAACAAATTAAATTGATATTACTCACACTATGAATGCAAAAACGATTCGAATGCTCTCCATAAAACACATGACATAAAATTTAAAAAAATACAAAAAGAATAGATTGAATCAAAGCAAGAATTAATTTAGAAAAACAATACAGATATTAGTAATTTAATGATTTCTATCGAAACTAATGCAATAAAATCATTAATAATTAGAACGGTGTATTTAATATAATTTTTTAAACAGCTACGCGTAGGCAACACTTTCGAACTGTTACTGTTCTACAACATATTCAATTGTATGAAGACGGTTCTGATTCGACTAATATTAGTCGAAAATTTGAGTCTATCGCTAATGTTTGTGACGTCTTCGCAAGTCATTACTAGTGTTATTACTACTGACACTGACTGAATAGAAATCTCGTTGAGTTGCTCAGTTTCGTTTCTGTTTGATTCTACACGCAAATGAATTCGTTTGCAAAATTTTTATTTGGTTGTTGGCAGTGACATCCGACATAGTGTTCCATATCGTTTTATGATATCAGATTTTAAGAAAATGTTGAAAAATCGTTCAATAAAAAAAATATCCTGCTATTCACAAATACTCACGGTTGGTGTTTAAGGCTTCTGAGATGGCACTGCTAACTAGGGGAGGCACTTTAACTTTAACTTTAAAGAAAAGTTAAAGTTTAAAGTTGTTTAAAGTGACTTTAAAGTCGTTTAAAGTCGCTTTAGACTTCTTTATTTTTCCTGTTTTTGATACTCTATAGCCTATAAAATATTAGAAACAAGAAAAATAAAGCGACTTTAAACGACTTTAAAGTCACTTTAAACAACTTTAAACTTTAACTTTTCTTTAAAGTTAAAGTGCCACCCCTACTGCTAACAAAATGAAAAAACGATAAAGTGACTGACAGCATTCATTTGCAGCATGCAGAGCGTTACCTACGCACTTTTTTCGGTTGTTTTTCTTGGTTTTTTTTTGCTTGCTCACAAAAGAATCCCATCACACTTGAAACTTTCGTTTCTTTTGCGTCAATATGTGATCGGAAGAAAGAAGGTGTGGGTGCGTGTGGGTGGGTGTAGGTGTGGGTATGGGTGGGTGTGGGTGTGGGTGTGAGTGGGTGTAGGTGTGGGGTTGGAATGTCACTTTACCCACAGCCACATCCCACACCCCATACCCACACAACCACCAACACCCACCCGCATCCACACCCACACCCTCACCCTACACCCCACATCCACACCCACAGTTAGCTACACCCACACCCACATCTGAAGAAGTACATATAAAATTTTACAGTCAATATTGAATCATTATGGCACCAATGAAGTCGTGTATGTTACCATTGACTTCTCATTTCATTTCTGTTCTTCTTTCTTCGTCATGTCATTTTTTTCTTTGTTCGATTTACGCACCGAACGACAATATTCAAAATTTCGCGTTCTGTCAACACAGTGGGTAGTGATGTTTTTTTTGCAACGCTCCCTACATATATAAGTGTCCATAGAGAAAAAAGACACTATAAATAAAAAAGAAAAATTCTTTTATAGTGAAACTTTGTTTGTGCATCGTTCATGGCGTCAGCTGTTAATAGTCGCCGACTATCACTAGGAGCTGCAGAGAAGCGCAGCAAAATTCTTGTTATAGGCTCACTAGGCTCCGGCAAATCGAATCTCATCAATGCCTTCAATCAATATTACAAAGATACGTTTGCATTTGACGAGCCATCTGGGTTCAGAAGACATTTGAATGAGAAGATCCTCGATTATATTGGCATCCAAAGACTAACGTACGATGCAGCGTGGTATGTTGTCAATTACCATTCGGCCATCGACATGAGTCAGGGTGTGGATGGGTGGGGTGGGTGGCTGTGAGTGTCGGTGTGGGTGGGTGTGGGTGGGTGTGGGGTGTGGGTGTAGGTGTGGGTGTGTGGGTGTGGATGTGTGGGTGTGGGTGTAGGAGTGTGAGTGTGGGTGTGTGTATGAGTGTGGACGTGGATGTGGATAACTCCTGTATAACTATCCACCCTCACACCCCACAGCCACACTCACACCCCACAGCCACACCCCACAGGCACACCCATCTGCACCTACAAGCTAAATCTCAGACATTTTTCATACTGAAAATGACATATATATTGGAATTTATATGGTTATTGCGACGTTTAGAACGATTTCATTTCGAAAAGGACATAAAATATAAAATTATATATTTGAATAACCATAGGAAGGCATCCAAATAGAAGTCTCAATGAATTCATGAGTATGGTTGACAGAATATAAAAGATCGTAAGCATAACGTTTTATACAAAGTTGATGAATCTTACATTTTTAAACTAAAAAAAATGGATAGAGAAACAATATTTATGAGAAATCCTGATCCACATCTTATTTGCTGATATTTATAAAGGCATGATGATTTTCGGGGTGTTATGAAGAGAAAAAAGTTTCAATCTTCGAGGGTGTGGATGTGGATATGGGTCTGGCTGTGGATTTAGAGGAATATAATCATTTACCCATACCCACCCACACACCCCTCCCGATTTCTCACGTGCTTCAAAAAAATCTCCCTCCTCCATCTCAAAACATAAAGAGAAGATTCGTGCTGTTTACTTCGAGTGCTTTGAGTGAAAAAATATGAATGAAAACAAAGGTATAAATCCCATCGATAAGACGTTATTTCACAAGCATAGGACCAACTGAATAAGGCTATTTTACCCAGCGAATATAACTGGAAGTCTGCATCTTTTCCATAGCATTTGTCTGCTAGATAGGCTCTTATTCAAAGCATTATCGAGTATTTCTTGTTGTTGTAACACTCGCTGCATTGGTAGGAAAGAAACAACAACACTGACGAAAGTGTTGTAATATAATGAATCAAGTCAACATGAAAAAGTTTTTTTTCTCGTTCTCGGCGTTCTTTTTTCTTCTCTCGTGCATGCTTTATTGGACAGACAGAAAATAATACCACGTTTTTTTTTGTCAATTCTGCTCTCAGATAAAAAGAAACTTTTGCAAATAAAAAAAGCGACAAGCAACTACCTATATATTTACCGACGATAGTCTTCAGGAACAGAATTGTTTCAAGTATTTTGTTGATCGTGTCCTTATTTACGTCTACATATGGCCGAGGGCTTCACTCCCCAGTTGACACAAACGAAGTTCAATCCGTAAGTTATTCTTATCTTTGTATAACGCGTATAGACTTTTTTCACATAGAAAACTCTTCGACATTGAAAATATATTATTTTCTTAATAGTATTTCGTCATCTAGCTTCCTTTCTTATCGCATAATTTCGAAATATTCAGTTCTGAATTTTTCGATTACGATATGACCAGAAGCGTCCTCTATCCAACGTATCGATGTATACTCTTGGCAATACAAATTTACTTATTTTCAGAATCAAAACATTTGACTAAATTTTCTTTCTACCATTTTTTAAATATTATTTTTCCGAAAAATATTGAAGCATCTGTGGTAACCGTTTAAGGGAAACAACAAGTTAAGGGAAAATGTGGACACCATTGTAGAGGCACATGAAATCGTATAATGGAAAATTCATATTGACTAAAAAATATCTGAGTGCATCTCACTATGTTAAATTAATCTTCAAATTATGTCAAAAATTTATGAAAAAATACTGGATTGAAAGAAAATATTTCAAAAACTTCACATGAATAGTCTAATTGCCATGCGTGTTGAGCAGTCGCTTCTAAAATTAGACGATTTGGTTTGTCGCATGTGATTGTTTCAATTGATTACTAAAAAGCTATGTTGTAAAATGAAACGAATTAGCTAATGAAACCAGTTAAATGCTGAAACTCGTTCTTCTAAACTTAAATCGCAGTGTATATTTGCTTTCATGAAATGCTTAGCATAGGAAATTATACCAATTAGTGTGCAGATTTGAATAAAACAAAATGAACTAGAATTTTTAAATTTAATATCACAAGCCTCAAATCTGAAAACATTGCAATAGCAACACAACTAATAATAAAAATCTGTATTTTGGAAACATTTATTCTCTATTAGCGGCTAGTATTTCGTGCTAAGTCTATGTGCTTATAAGCATCTCAAATTGTATGGACTCTGACAAATTAACTGGAAATTATATCTAACAAGTTCGAGCCAAATAGGACGTCTGTTTCTGTCGGTAGAAAATATTCTCCTAATGAATTAAGATGCATTAGTTGAATTAGTTGAAACTTGATTTATAACGACGCTTACAATATTTTCATTCTTGTATGTGAAGGAAACAATATTCCTTAAGAATAAAAAAATATTGGAACTTTGGTTTTGGTCTAGATGCTAGAAGAAAGGTTTTCGAGACAAAAGTTGATCTGTGAAAGAATGAGAAAAGAAAGCTCTAAGTCATTTTTATTCTGTGTTCCTGCTATATTCCATTGAAAGAAGCAGTTGTGTCGATTCATTTGTTCATGTAACATGATAGATCGCTTGAAACGAGCAGAAGTTAGATTTAGATTCACAACTTGAAAAAATATTTCATATTTAATCAGGGTTTTATCTTTCTTCTGGAGGAAACCTGAAAGACTAATAGAATCTTCACGTGATTGATACGCGGTAGTAGCTATTTTTACATTTGTGAAAGATCTAGAAGGATATAAAAAACTTCAGATTTATTTAAACTGAGCAGCCTTATAGACTATGACAACTAATTATAAACGAAAATCAGTAAGTCGATATAGACTGAACCTTTGGGTAATTCAAAAGATCCGCTTTCTATTGACATTTATTGCTGTATACGTATAGCGAACAGAAACATCATAAAACTATTTTATCACGCAATTTTCGATCCAAGCTAGTTGATTTCCATTCAACAATATATGTTTTCAAGAGAAACGCAAATATTGTGACTTGTATTTAGAATTTATTTTACATTTTTAATTGCCTACTTAGAACCATCAACGATGATAGTGATGAACAACAAATAACCGATACTTCGAATTCGGTGGGCGGTCGAAAATGCATTGTGTGTTTTAAATTCTTCGATGAAGCACACTATATAAGACATGTACAGATGTGCTGCGAATCAATGACGACTTCAAACGAGACTAAACCGTGTATAATTTGCTCAAAGCCAATTGCGGACAAAGAATACATCGCTCATGTGAATGCGTGTCTTAATAAATCATCACGTTCATCACGTTCGACCCAGTCAGTTCCAAGGAAACACTCTACATGTTTTGTATGGTAAGTAGAACATTCGTATTGAATTACTGTATGGGTCAAAAGTCTGGTATCTCTATTTTTTTGAGTTGTGTATTGAAACTACACAATATTAATTTAATTCAATGATATTTTTTGGATAGCAGAGATCAAGTACTATTAATATATACCTGCTCAATCCGAAAAACTCTTGAATATGGAATACAATTAGAAAAATAAACTTCAAT